GACTATGACTTTTGATGTCTGAGTTGACAGAAACATCAATTACAGAACTAATAATAAAATGTATTGAAAATGGATGAAAGCCTGATCTATGAAAGAAAAGAAACTCTTAAGCACTACTCTGTGATTTTTGTACCTTTCATATTGGTGATGCCTAATAGATATTCAAAAGACAAGCTGACATTTTGGGTAGTGACAGAACCAAAATCTGTTGTTAAGAATGGGAGAAAATTTTGCAGAAAAACAGACAACTTGGGTTACTTGTTCTTACAGAATGAGAAATTCTTGTTCTCAGCATTTTACAACAAATTCTGGAAATTTAGGTTATCCTTGCTTTTCCTCGATATCCTCCAAAGACTGAAGTCACTACAAAATCTTCTTTTAGGGATACAGAGGTAAAACAGAAGAGAAGGAAGCAGAAAAAGGAAGTGGGAAGGGCAACTGTAGAGACAGAAATGATTCTTCCGATGTGTTAGTCTTAAGGCTTATGCTGACCTCCAGTGTGAATATATCCAAGTTACCTACCCTCTGACTCCATTCTTTTTGCTTTTTGAAATGGGCATGGTACAGATTTACTCAGGATGGAGTTTTCAAACTCCTAAAGAGCATGGGTTGCCATCTTTTAGTTTTGTAATGCCAATGCAAAGGCCTCAGTGGCTTTCACATAATAGCAAAGCAAATACTGGTTGGATATTGAATCAAAGGCAATTCACTTTGCCTAAACGGGTTCTACTTGCTTCTGGGATGTGTATCTTTCTGAGCCTCACCTTGCACAAGGTCCTAGCCAGCTCTGAATCTATGATTTAGGAAGCCCATCTCCCCAACCCCCGAATTCAGATCTCCTAGCCCATGTTCTCTAGGATGCAGGCAGGAATGGGATCTGATCTGCTGGACACCTAACTAGTGCAGTGGATAGCAGCAAAGTCATAGGTACAGCCTGCAAAGTCATAGGTACAGTGACTTGGTGACTAGCTAGAGACTTGGGCCCATCTATGCCCTGCTGTAATTACACCTCCTTCCACAGAGGTAGCTCAGCAAGTCAAACCACAGCCAGCTTCTGAAAACAAAGCCAATGGGGAGGACTAGATAGAATGGAGAAGTAAAAGGAAAATAAAAGCAGCAGAGAAAGCCTACTCATTGACTGGAGGGAGGCAGAGTGGATAGGTAGCACTGGAGGGGCTAGAAAGCCGGCCTTAACAAGAAAAAAGAAAAAGCCTGCCCTACCATATGGAGGCCGGGAAAAAACAATGGGATAGGCCTGGGTCCGTAATTAGACCAATAATCAACACTAGATTTTATTGGTGCAGGATTAAGCACAGCAGAAAAGCAGGTTTTCAAAAATCAATTACTTACAGGGCAAGCTTTACAAGTCACAAGGGTTCTAGGATTCGATGTGGCAGGAAATCAATTTTTCACCAAGTCTACCTTGTGAAAATATATTTACATACCAGTCACCTTATTATTAACGCCAAAGAAGCAAAAGAATTCTTGAGAAGAAAGTAGAAAGGCCTCAGCTCCAGCACAAAACAGAAGGCCTGTTACAAAAGCCACGAGGTCCTGGAACCATAGCATGCAAAATTATGTCGGAAAAAGCTTTCAACATGTAAAACTTATTTTTTTTTAACAAAGCCTTTTCTCCTTTGCCCTCAAAAAGAAACTAATTTTCAATAAACATTCCAGTACACAAATATTTTGTACAATTAAAGAGCAAAGGAACAAGGGAAAGGGAGGTTTAATCTGCCACAAATAGTTTGTTCAGTTATATGATCTTGGGCATGTAATCTAGGCAGCTAGGCAGTGCAGCACTGGATGGAGCACTGGGCCTGGAAACAGGAAGACCTGAGTTTGAATGTATCCTCAAGCATTTACTAACTGTGTCACCCTGGACAAGTCACTGTACCTCTGTCTGACTCAGTTTCCTCAACTATAAAAAGAAGATGATAATAATAGCATCTACCTCCCGAGGTTATGTGAGGGTCAAATGAGATAGTATTTGTAAAGCACTTAGAACAGTGCCTGGCATAGGGTAGGTGCTATGTAAAAAAGATATTACTAATATTACTATTGTTGTTGTTATCTTGATTGTCCAATAATCAGTCTGCTATTTAAAAGTGTATGCTAACAAAGATCAAACTCAATAGCAGTTTCTATACAACTGCATTGAGATCATTTTCCAGGTAACAAATAAAAAACAAAATAAATTTCTTCCCTCACTGATTCATGCCACATTAATTACTCTGAAGGCTGGATGACACCTTTCAACATATATACAGTGGCTACAAAAACAATCTTCTGTTAGTCTATTATAATCAGTTTTAAGTGTTTACTTAAATGGTATTCTTCCAGAAAATGGTTTTAAAGAGCCAGTATAGCACAATGAATAAAGTGGTGCATTTGAAAGATACAGGTTTGAATCTTGCCTGCGACATTTTGCTAGCTGTGTGACTCTGAGCAAGTTGCCTACATTTTCTTTGAGTTTTTTCATTAATGAAATGAGGTTATGTTGTTGTTGTTCAGTTGTGTCTGACTCTCTGTGGCCCCATTTGGGATTTTCTTTGCAAAGATACTACAGTGATTTGCCATTTCCTTCTCCAATTCATTTGACAGATGAGGAAACTGAGGCAAACAGGGTAAAGTGACTTGCCCAAAATCACCCAGCTAGTAAGTGCCTGAGGCCAGATTTGAACTCAGGAAGATGAGTCTTCCTGACT